ATGTTCCTACCTGCTCGTGTTATCCTGGCCACATTGAATCGACTAGTATAATTCACTTTAAAGTACTGTTCAACTATGGACCTTTCTTGTTTGCCTTCGCCATTCAATGGACTGAATAAGTACTCGGGATCGATGTTATTGTGCATTTTCTGGTAGCCGGTCATGCCCAAACATGTCAGTAGAATCGGAACGATGATGAAATAACCAGGATGTTTTCCTACCACGAACCCCAACTTGTAAAAGGCCTTGTTCAGGTAGTCGTCCACAATCTTCAAGCCAATCATCTGAAATAAATCCGTGAATCATTTCAGTATTCAAAGTTTGAATTATTGGGTTCAGGGCGAATGCAAAATTTTCTTTTGTGCTGGATGTGCCGAATTTGGGTCGGCCAAGCTCGAATCGCAAATTCGAATTCAAGTTGCGTTCGTATCATTGACGAAATCGAGCAATTTGCGATGCATGAAGTGACTTTGAATTAGCATTCATATAATAATACTTTGGTTTATTGTATTTAAATTGCGATTTTATAAAAATTACTAAGTGGAATTGCAAATGGCTTTATTCAATTGCTCCTAGTTATCTTTTAGAGGACTTTTGCGATGACTTTTCTGCTCTTAACCCAAATGTTGCACCAATCAAACGGTTTTCCCAGACTTAAGCAACTGAGTGCGATTCATCGGTTAATTTACGGCAGGGTTTGGTGTTGAAATGCAATGACGCAAAGCTGAAGATTAAACACTCCGATGTATCCAATTCACTCTGGTAAGCAAATAATAAAGTCGGTTATGAGAGAAAGTAACAGACATCATCAAGCCGCCAGAATATTACAGAAATTACAGGAAAATTAATTAACTGCAATTAAGTGCGGCGCCAGAACTCGATTCGCACGCCAAGTCAGTCACTGGGTCTTCCTAAGTAGACCGTATGATACGAAGCAATAGAAGGATTTGAGGCTCGAACTGAAGAAATGGAAGATGCAGTTTGCGATACGGGCACTGCACTTAATCCGAGTGTGTTTTAAACAGTTTTTTAACTGTTATAAGAACAACAGATCCGTGATAAGGAACTAGTAGAGGTAGACGACGCAAACATTGTCTGTTTAAACATTTAAATCGCTGTAACTTCTAAGCTGAACTACTTACTCGATTTTAGTCATTTTTAGCATATATGAAATATAAATGTTAGTATTTTGACTGTGTATACTGTAGAACGCGATGGTTTTAAACAATATTGCAAAAGAGCGTCATTTGTAACAATGACGGTATGTTTGTTTTAACTCGAAAAATTTAATAGCACGGTTATTATTGAAACGTACATAAAATTTGCCAGAGAAAACGTGTAAACCGCAGCTCGATACCTTTGTTCGTTCCAGAGTTTTTGGCAAATTAACAATTTTAATGGTTTTTAAATTGCTACAAATTGCGCCCTCTAGCAAATTTGTTTAAACCTATCGAGCCTTGCTCTATACTCCAATGCAAAATACTAACATTTATCTTCAAAACACGCTTAAAACTGCTCAAATCGAACAAGTCGGGTAAAAGTTATAGCGATTTAAATGTTGAAATAAATATTCAATGGCTTTTCCCACCCTTATCAACCTCGGTACTTCAATGAGTTTTTAACGAAAAAGATGGGAAATTGTCCAAGCTTTCTAACAATATTACTAAGCGAATACCTTGATTTTGAAATTTTCGGAGAAACTAGGGTTTTTAATATTGACTTTGCAATTGCTCTTGTGGCAATAAAATAATGTTGTGGTTGTCCAAAGAAAACCATGCTTATTCCGAGTTAAACTAACACAACTTGGCACGGGATGCGCAATTTTCATTTAAAAAACGCCGCTATTTGATTGCTAATTCAATTCGCCATAATTGACCTTATCTAGTTTCGAACTTTACGTTATATCATTTATTGGCATATAACTGTCGATTTGCGGTATAGTAGGCACGTGCAGGCATAGGCGATTTCTGTCAACGGGCCTATATGCGAACTCGGCCGGGAAGTATTTACGTGCGAATTTGTGTCTAATACAAGTAATGACATAATTTAGTATAAATATGGAACAAAACAATTTGTAAATATTTCTGGTCCAGTAGTAGTCTTGGTTAGTACTGGTTTTAGTACATAAGTCCAGTACTTATTTAGTACCGAGATAAATATATATCTACTATATATTTAACACCCTGTATATGAATAATCGACGCTATTCTGAGCCTTGAACGCTAGGTTCTGAACACTGTGTAAAATGCTTCTTCAAGAAAAACTCCACATCCATTCAGAATAGAAGTTTAACTCCATTTTGCCATCTTCAACTCCCATGTGCTCTGCCAAATAATGAAATAAACTCATTGATTTGGTAAAAACGTATATTACAAGATCAGTATTTCCAACACACAAGGTGTTAACATTGTGTTCTGAATGGTTGGTTGACTGCCTTTCTATATCTGAAGTAATTCACTTGTACGCTCCATAACTCTTGATATTTGACGAAATCTATTCCTATTTGTTACAATTACAAAAGGTATTTTGACTTCATGTCTATCTGTATAATTTAATATATTAAACATTATATTTTATTGTTGGCTATCATGCCAATTCAACGATATTCGTGTTGCAACATTGAATGGTTCTTTGGTCTTATTAGCATTTTCTAATAAATTACAGTGTGAAGGTAAAAGCTGTGTATCAATCTGCTCTGTTGCATTGGCGTAGTAAACTTATCTGATATGCTTGACTTCAATATTGGGAAGCTTTTTTGTCTGACTTATGTTGAGCTTTAATTCTCTTAATGACTCTTAGATAAATTAGGTGTTCGGCATGGTTCAAATTTGATTTTATCGCTGAATTTTGCCCTTTGCCTTTGCTAGCAATGAATGACAAAGTCGACTATTTATGGATGTTGTTTGAAGTTGTTTAAACAAATTTTGATAAAAACTATACGCAATAAAGTGCTTGAGGTGAATTAATAAAGAAAGCATTATTAAGCACAGTTAATAACAATTTGTTACAAAATATCATGAGGAAAGTGGCGATTAGATGATGTAAAGTCTCTAGACTTTTTGGCAGTTTTTATTTTCTTGTTCGCACTCGTTTCTTCTCTTTTGACTGTTTTAAATTGTTTTTGCTTAG